TCTGCTAGAGAGACCGCAACTGGCCGGCCAAGCGGCGTGAGTGTGGTGCGGTCTCGAAAGAAGGAGCGAGACGCCCCCGAGTCAAGGGTGAAGGTGAGGGAGGCCGAAGCCGACTCGGTACCTGAGAGCGCCGACTCACCAGCACCTGAGGAAGCCGACGCACTAGCACCTAGAGCAGCAGCCTCGCTAGCACCTAGAGCAGCAGCCTCACCAGTACCTAGAGCAGCAGTCTCAATGCCCGGGTCGGGCGGGAAACACCGGTAACAGTCACCCTCATCACTAATAGTCACAACATACATGGCAGCAAGAATAGCATCAAAGTCAAGATCAAAGATAGCTACGCCCGCCCTAGACAGCTCACCCCAGCGGGGGATCTCCGTGGCCTCCGGAAACTGGTGACGCTAAGCGTCCGTCAGGCGGCCAAAGCAGCGCTGGGTGGGGTGCGCACCCCCACACTGCTCACCCGCGCGGTCGCCGGTGCGTAGGACGTAGGTGCACGGACCAGTCCCCCAACCCGCTGGCGTGCAGCCTACCACTTACGGAGCTGCTGAGGGGGGGGGATGTCACGAGTGCGCTGCTGCTGCTGCTGGCGCTGACCACCGCCGGAGCCGACCCTCTGCGCAGCGCCACCCCGACCAGCTCCACCTCCTCCGCCACCGCCTCCTCCACCGCCGCCACCCCCGCCACCTCCGCTCCCACCGCCACCGCCGCCGCCTCCGCCTCCACTGCCGCCACCGACACCCCCACCCCCGCCACCACCCCCACCGCCACCCCCACCCACTCCGCCGCCCCCACCTCCGCCTCCACCGCCCCCGCAAGCTCCTCCAGCGCCCTTGCCCCCCTTGCCCTTGCCAGGGCGGCGTCTCCCGCTAGGGGTAGACGCCGCACCGACCGACTCAAGTCCAACGAGGTCGGCCGCAACAGCAGAGGCAACAGAGGGCAAAAGGGGGGAGGGGGAACACCCCTCAAAGATGGGGGTGCGCGGGTCACCAGGAGAGGCTCCTACACTGACTATGCTCTTCTCCGCTGCTAAGAGGGCCTTCTCGAGGTCAACAGTGCGAGTGGTGGGACATGCTGAGAGGAAGTGGTCCCTGACTACGCGAAGGGAGTCAGGGAGGCGGGTGACTATGGAGTAGAGAGTGATGTACATGGGGGGGGGGGGGGGGGGGGGGTTCTTGGCGCAGATCTCAGCAGGAAGCGCAGCGCGGTAGCGAGTGTCACTAGTGCGGAGGTGCGTAATGAGGTCAGCGACTGTGGGAAAGGCAGCAAGGTCAGGGAAGAGGTACGGTAGCATGAGGCAACTCAGTGCAGCAGTGGCAGGGGAGGAGTAGTGTGCAACTACAGCGTCGTACAAGGTCTGAGCACTCTTGTACTGGCTAAAGTGCGCACGCTCAGAGGTAGGCAGGTGGCGACGCACAGCAAGATGTGCAGCAGCATCGCGCGTGGCCCTTTGGGAGCGAACAGTGGCGTCAACATCAGCAGCAGGGGCAGGAGAGGCACCAGAGGTGAGGTTAAAGAGAGAGAGACCGTTTGCCCTATCGCACTGTAAGAAAAGCTGCAGGTCATCTATCCAGACGTCAAAGTCAATAGCCCGACCCTCAGCGTCAAAAGTGAGGACACTAGGGGTAGCCATGACAGCACTAGACTAGCAGTGCGAACAGTAGGGTGAGGGTAGTGCAGTGACAGAGGCGCTGCTCTTACCGGACAGGGCGGCTCGGGCGGCTCGGCTGCAGGGCGACTCGGCGGCTCGGCAGCTGGGCGGCTCGTCGGCTCGGCTGCTAGGCGGCTCGGCGGCTCGGCGGCTCGGCTGGTGGGCGGCTCGGCGGCTCGGCTGCTCGGCGGCTCGGGGGCTCGGCTGCAGGGCTGCTCGGCGGCTCGGCTGTTGGGCGGCTCGGCGGTCGGCTGCTCGGCTGGGTGAGGCGGCTCGGTCGGCTCGGGTGGCGGCCGGCTCTTCAGCAGGCGACGGCGCCTGCGCCGTAGTGGTGACGGCGGGGCCGCGTGGGGACGGCGCTGAGGCCGGCAGAGGCGGCGTCGGGGCCGCACAGGTAGGTGGCGGGGCCGCAGGTAGTTGGCGGGGCCGCAGGTAGGTGGCGGGGCCGCAGGTAGGTGGCGGGGCCACAGGTAGGTGGCGGGGCCGTAGGTAGGTGGCGGGGCCACAGGTAGGTGGCGGGGCCGCAGGTAGGTGCCGGGGCCGGCAGGTAGGCGCCGGGGCCGCACAGGTAGGCGTCGGGGCCGTAGGTAGGTGGCGGGGCCGCAGGTGGGCGTCGGGGCCAGTAGGTAGGTGCCGGGGCCTCAGGTAAGGGCGGCATCAGGGCCGTAGGGCGGCGCGAGGGCCGCGGGGTAGGCGACGAGGCCGCAGGGCGGCGGATCGGGGTCGGGAAAGGGCGGCGCGATGGCCGCGGGGTAGGCGACGAGGCCGCAGGGCGGCGGGTCGGGGCCAGGAAGGGCGGCGCAAGGGCCGCTAGGGCAGCGGATCGGGGCCGCAAGAGCGGCGCGACGGGGTCGAGAAAAGGGGGGGAGCGCGACTCGGGCTAGGGCTGAGCGCGCTCCGGGCAGGAAAAAAAATATCGAGTTGGTGGGCCCAAGGAACAGTTCCCACGAGGGAACCTGCTCGATACCATGAGAAGAAACGAGAATGAATGACTAAGGAATGAAAGTGATACAAGTATGCAACCCTAGAATTGTGTACCCCATATAGGCTACCCCACTACAGCCTACACAACATTATAATTTGACAGATCGTGCACGCGTTCAAAGTGTGGCGATGTTACCTCACGGGAGCAGACGTGACAGTACGCACAGACCACCGATCCCTACAGTACCTTCGTGCCCAACCGAATCTCAACCCACGACAGATCCGCTGGTTGGACTATCTGGAGTCCAACTTCCACTACACGGTCACGTACAAAAAAGGCGCATCCAACATTGCCGACGTTCTCACACGCTCCACCGCCCAACTCCACGCCATCCTACTTGCCCAAACCAACCCACTGCTAACAGGCCTATTCACCCACGGATACAGTACCGACCCATTTTTCACGACCGGAAATTCACAACAACTGGCAGAGGCCAAAGGAGTCTATTACGTAAAGACAGGCACCAACCGCATCTGGGTACCCGCGTACTCACTACTGAGGGAACTGTTACTGCAGGAGGCACACGACGGGATTACCTCGGGACATTTCGGGGTAGAAAAAACGTGACAGCAACTGCAGCGGTATTACTACTGGCCGGAGCTGTTGAGCGACGTACAGCACCACGTGGGCTCGTGTCCTACGTGTCCGGTGATGAAGAGCTCGCGAAAAAGAAAGGCGGGTCAGTTGAAGCCGATTCCAATGCCTGAGCGCGCCTGGCAGCACGTTACCATGGATTTCGTCACGGGGTTACCTTCGAACCCTGGGGGTAACGACGTGGTTATGGTCGTCGTTGACAGGTTGACGAAGATGGCACACTTCACTGCGTGCAAAAAATCGATCTCAGCCGAAGAAACCGCTCGCCTATTCATCGCAGTCGTCATTCAACTGCACGGGATACCAGCCGCAATAATCAGTGACCGCGACACGAAGTTCACCAGCAACTTCTGGAAAAACCTATGGGAGCAGTTCGGGACAAGGCTATAGTTCAGCTCATCGTACCACCCCGAGACCGACGGTCAAACGGAGCGGACGAATCAGACGATGGAGCAGTTGATTCGTGCCACGTGCGACGACCCGACCACTTGGGAGCAGCAGCTGCCGCTGATCGAGTTCGCGTATAACAACGCCACGTCAGCAACGACGCAGCAGTCCCCTTTCTACCTGAACTACGGGCAAAACCTTACAGTGCCCATGACGCCGAGTCCGGACAACCCAACACCACGTGCACAGCAATTTGCTGAAATTCTGCAAGCTACCCGCACCAAAGCCGCATAAGCAATTAAGAAGGCCAATGTCATCGCTAAGCGCAACGCTGACCGACACCGCCGCCCGGAAGCGTAGCAGTCAGGAGACTTTGTACTGCTCGACACACAGAACTTAAGACTGCCCGTCGTACCGAAATTACGACCCCGCTACTGTGGACCATTCCAAATCAGCCACATGATTACCCTTGTGACAGCCCACCTACTGTTGCCGACGGACTGGTACGTCAGCCCTTCATTACACGTCAGCCTGCTTCGCCCATACATCCCAACCACAAGCCAACTGCCTCGTCACCACCCGCCATCCATGACTCGCCCTGCATCGGAGCCGACCATCGTGCCCGAAAAAATCAGGAGCCATCGGATTCGACACCCCACGGGAATCAGGAGTATTGAATTCCTCGTTCGCTGGAAGGATCGCACGCCAACTGAAGATAGCTGGGTGCCCATGGCCAACATCGAAAACCACCCTGCCCTGCAAGTGTACCTTAGGAGCCGGGGTTTCCGCGATATACACGCACTCGCGTAGCGGGGGGGGCTTCTTGAGGGGGGTGGTAGTGTAAGGAATTTTCTCGATATTCCTTAGCGCGCCCTACAACATCGCGTACAGCAGCAGCCGTTGTTTGCCCGTTACTACTAACGGGGCTTCGCCGACTTTGCGCGCACCGTTTCACCAAACCTCGCACTGCTGGCCCGACCGTGTCGGCCTACGCTTCGGGACTAGCCCAAACCTCGCTGCCAGCGTAGCACTAGCTAACTCGCACGCACCGCGTTACTGTTTGCATGTTTCGCGTACAAATGTTTGCTCATGCCTTCGCTCACATGTTGTACTCATTTTGACACCGTAGTGCAAATCTCGCTACTTCGATCCATTGCACCCGTAACACATATGCCCATCCCGCCTTCGCATCGGCCAGCTTCTGCACAGGCTCGCCAGCCTTCTCTTTTCACCCTTGCCTATTTCGGTCGCGTTCGTCACTTCCCGTCCCGACGCGTCTCACTGCGCGCGCCACGCCGCTGCTCAGTCATTGTCCGGTGTCTCGACTCGCCAAAAAAAAAAAAAAAAAAACCCTCTAAACCTCCATTCTATAGGCCGCGACCAATGGGCGACCAGCAGGTGGTGGGCGATTTTCTCAAAGTCACGCCCAAGCGCTATGCGCCAGCGGCGCCCGCGGAGACGGCGGAAGCGGGATTTTGGCGCAGCTTCCGGCGGAAAGCGGCGGAGCCGCTGATCGGCAACGTGACGACCATCGACTTCTGCCCCTCCGCGCCCTACCACTTCGCCGCTACCAACTCCACCCGCGTGCGCCACTCTCCCCCCACTCTCTCATACCCATCCCCTCTTCACCCCCCCCAAACCCTTTCCCCTCAACCTACCCCACCCCTTTCCCTCAACCCCGCGCACCCGATCCCCGTTATTTCTACTCGCCGTGCCGCTCTCCCTTTCGGCCGCCCTGCGCCCGCGCGTCCCGATATCGAGCCCTCACAGCGGCGCAGACGTGCGCGGAACGCGGATGTGGGGAAGGGGAAGTTGGAGGCAGGGGACAGTTTAGAAGCGTAGATCGCGGCATCTCCTTGTACCTCGAACCGTGCTTAGAAGAAGAACAGCCGGGCGCGTACCAGTGAATCAATATCGGCGTCTCAAGGGGCACTGATGGGGCGGCACCGGGTGCACGGGTGCACTTGTGCACGGGTGGACCGCAGAGGCGGGTTGCTGTCGTTCGGTCGTGACGATAAGCGTTGTGCGCCGATGGGGATGTCGAAGGATGGCAAGCGATGGCAAGGGATAGAGCAGCAGGTCACGTAGGGCTTAAACCCTGTTGGCCTTTCGACCCTTTGGGGAATTAAAAACCCTTGCACGCACTTGAAACCTTAGGAAGCGCTTAAACCCTGTGGGCCGCTTAAACCCTATTACTACCTCTCGCTTCACAATCTTGACTTTCATGCAATACTCACCGTGCAACCCAAAACCCCCCTGCGCCCATGGCAGGTGACGGTGTACAGTGGCGTCACCAGGGAACCGCTTAAAACCTTCTCTCGCTTCAAAGGACTTGTAAGGCCTCCCAAACCCTTCCATCGCTCCTTTCGCCCCGCTTGCTCCTCCTCCTCCTCCTCCACCTCCACCATTTTCTCCCATCCGTGTCTGCCTCGTCCGCCTCCTTTCACAACTTCCCATCGCTGAGTTTTTTAAATTCCATCCGTGGTAGCGTTTGTCACGTACTCGCACTGCCGCACCTCATCCTCTCCTGCCCGCCCACCTCCCCTCCTCCGTCTTTCTCCTGTCTTCGCCAATCTCCACTCAATTCCCTCCCCTCCCCCCCTCTCTCCTCCATCGCGCCACGCGCTTGCGGGCTGTGCAGGCGTACAGCGGGCGGTTCAGGGCGGATGGCAAGCTGCTGGTGGCGGGCGGGGACAGAGGCATCGTGCAGGTCAGGGGGGCGCTACCCTGGGGGGGCACGGACTGGGCACAGGGGGCGGAGGGAGAAAGTGGGAAGCACAGGAAGGACGCGGCAGAGAGGGGGGGAGGAAGGGCGAGGGAGGGTGAGAGGGGGCATGCGTGGGGGGCGGTCTCTACTGTTTCCTCACCTCTCCAACTCGTGCCCCACGAGCGGTGCCTCTTAGCCCCCTACACTGTTTTCTCCCTGCTGCCCCGTTACTTCAACCACCATTCTGAATGCCCCCCGCTCTCCCATTCCCCCCTCTCCCCCCCTTCTTGTCCCCCATCTCGTGTCCTCTCCCCCTCCCCTCGTTGCCCTTGTGCGTGTGATCGCGGCAGGTGTTCAACGCCACGACCCGCACAGTGCTGAGACAACTCAACGGCCACACAGAGTACGCATGCACTCTCTCCTGCACGCACGTGCTCACGTGCTTACATGCTCACATCCAGCATCCACCTACCAAATCAGCTATCCACGGACATACCGGCCCGCCCACACTCTCCCTACCCACCCACCTACACACATGTGTGCGCGTGCGCGCACCTATTGTCTCACCTTTCTCTTGCTTTTGACTGTCCGACTCTCCGCTTTGCCTCTCGTTCTCTCCCATTCCCGACCCCTCCCTCCTTGTTCCCTGCGTCCCACCCCCTGTACAAGCATGATCCCGTGCACCAGTCAACTATCCTTCCCTCAACTTCGTGTGCCCAGGCGTCCTCCTGCCCGTCCTCTGTGCCAAGCTGCCCCTTCAACCCCCCACCACGCCACTGCGTCCCTGCACACGCCCTCGTCATTGCTGACTTAACCGCCCTGGCCGCTCATCGTCCTCCCACCTTCCCTTTTCCCCATCCCATTTCCTTCCCCCCTCTCCCCCTCCTCCCCGGGGTGGTGGTGGTGGTGCCATGGTGCAGTGCAGTGAGGGCGGTGCGCTTTGCGTTGGACAAGGTGCATCTCATGTCGGCCGGCGATGACTCCGTTCTGCGCTGGTGGGACGTCAGCGCCCAGGTCCGTCCGTGCGTGTGGCTCTCTCGTCTGATTCTGATTCTGATCCTGCTCCTGGGGGACATCGCGTGCTAGTCTTCCTACGTCTTGCCTCGCCGCTCCACTCATAACGCCTCCCACATTGGCACCGCCCCTCAGCCCATCCCCTCCCCACCTGCTCCTCAATCCCACTCCTCCCTCCTCTTCTCCTCTCGACTCGCATCCTCAACTCAACTTCTACTGCTCCCCGTCCCCTTGCCCTTACTCATGTTTCCTTGCGCCCCCTCTGCACCCCTTCCCCTCCTTTCCACAATGTCACCCCACCACGCGCCCCGCCCATGGCAGGAGCCACTGCGCAAGATGGCGGCGCACACGGACTATGTGCGCAGCCTGTCCACCAACCCGGCATCAGCGGACCTGTGGGCGTCGGGGTCGTACGACCACAGTGTGCTCGTGTGGGACGTGCGCGTGCGCGATCCCGTGCTCAGATTCCAAGTGAGCTGCCACATGCACACATGCACACATGCACGCATGCACGCTTGCGCCATGCACTGCTGCACTGCAGGCGCTGTTTCTAAAGTCCTCCTCACTCACCGTTTCTCATCTCTTTCAACGCCTCTAGTTGTTTGTTTCTTGGTTTCTGTCGCTCGCTATTGTTGTGCCCCATCCTCCTCCACGTCTTCTCACTGATGCATCTGCACCCCTCCATGCCCCGTGCATTGCCTTGCCCCATGCACCTGATGTGAGGCACCTCAGAATGACTCCTTCAGCCCCTCCCTCCCCCTTACTTCTTTCCCATCACCCAACTCCTCGTTTCCCCCCCTGCCAGCATGTGCATCCAGTGGAGCCCGTGCTTTTGTGAATGCTGTTTCACCCGGATGGCTTTTGTGGGATTGACATTTTCTTCTTTCCGATCACCCAACCCCTCGTGTCCCCCCTGGTGTGTCGCGCGTGCCAGCATGCGCATCCAGTGGAGGACGTGCTCTTCTACCCCAATGGCACCATGCTCGCTGTCGCAGGTGCGCTGCCATGCCATGCCATGCCATGCCATGCCGTGTCATATTGTACCACACCATGGCATACCTTGCCATGCCATTCACCCAAGTGCCTACCCATGAACGGCAGGCCCTGACACTTTTTCACAACTTCTAGCCGTTCACTCCTGCATCAGTGCTACCATGTTCCTTATCATCGGATTTCTCCTGCACCACCCTCCGTCCGTGCACTTCTCTTCCCAGCAGTCTCACAGCATCCTCCGTCGCCATGCACCCTCGCTCTCTCCCCTTCATCCTTCGCCCATCTGCCCTGCCTATCCTTGCCATCCTCCCCTCCCCTCCACCCTCTCCCCGCATCACAGCGGGTCCACAGGTGGCAGTATGGGACATGCTTAAGGGAGGGGCATCAACCACACCGCTCCCTTCCTCGCAACAACAAGACAGCGCAGCGCTGACCCCAGCAGCGGCAGCAACATCGCACTCGCGGCCGCTGTACATACTGGGCAACCACCAGAAGGCCGTCACGTGCCTGCACGTCACCCCGCCCATCTCCCTGGGCAACGGCGACCCGCCCTTCCCTGCTCGCATGCTCACAGGCTCCCTCGATGGCCACGTGCGCGTGTTCAGCCTCAGTGACTACAAGGTAGGTGCCACCCACCCACCCACCCACCCCTTGTGAGCAAGCAATCACGAAGGCCAATACGGCCAGTGACTACAGGGTAGGCTGCCACTCACTCAGTCGCCCAACCCAACGCATGCACCAAACCTGCTGACAAACTCCACTGCATCCGCCTACCTACCTACCTCTCTTCCTCACTTTCCCCTCTTTTGTCAAAGCTCACTCCCACGAATTCACATTCAGCATAACCCTCCGACCATCCCCTCCCTTCTCCCCCTCCCCTCGAACCCTGTTCTCCCTTCTGTCCACTCAACGCTCTCTCCACCCCCCGCAACCATGCACATGGCAGGTGAAGCACATGGCACGGTACGATGGCCCCATCCTCTCCCTGGGCATGTCAGCACGCGGCACCACACTAGCGGTGGGCATGGCAGGCGGGCAGATGGCCATCCGCCACCGCACGCCCACCCACAGCGACAGGCGCCACCTGCAGCTCGCAGCAGCGGCGGCAGCGGTGCCGCGCGTGCCGGGCATGCAGAAGAGCATGACCAAGAGGGGCAGCAAGGGGCGCATGCATGGGCCGCTGCAGACGGCCAACTTCAGATATCTCGTTCGCGGCCAGACGGAAGAGGCTGCGGTGGGTGCTGCTGCTGTTGCTGCGGCTGCTGTTGCTGCTGCTGCTGCTGCTGTCGTGCTTCTTGTCGATTTTGCTACTCCCGCCACCGTTTCCCTGTCTTGTGTGTGTGTGTGCTGCATGCGTAACATGTGCTGCCACCGCCATCATTGCCAATCCCCTCTCCCACCCACCATCCCTCCACCCGTCCTCTCCCTCTCCCTGCCCCTCTCCCCCCTTTCTCCCGTCCCGTGCATGTGCATGGCAGGCGGAGGACTACCTAGTGGCGCAGCGCAAGCGAGTGCATCTGGCGGTGCACGACAACAAGCTGCGGCGCTTCCAGCACTCCGCTGCTCTGCGCGCCGCCATGCAGGACGCGTCGCTGGAGAAGCCCGAGGTCAGCAGCAGGCACACATGGGCACGGGCGAGCGGGCACACATGGGCACGGGCGAGCGGGCACACATGGGCACGGGCGAGCGGGCACACATGGGCACGGGCGAGCGGGCACACATGGGCACGGGCGAGCGGGCACACATGGGCACGGGCGAGCGGGCACACATGGGCACGGGCGAGCGGGCACACATGGGCACGGGCGAGCGGGCACACATGGGCACGGGCGAGCGGGCACACATGGGCACGGGCGAGCGGGCACAGGGAAGGGGGGCATGGGGGGAGGGGAGCAGGGAGGGGGAGGGGAGGGGGGGTGGTTGAGTGGGTGGCAGGGTGGGTATGTCGGTCCGACCATCTGGTGTGCTCGGGAACGTCAAGTAGTATCCTTGTCTGTTTGTTTTTTCTTTTTACCTCTTTACCCTTTCGTGTCCTTCTCCTCTGTCCATTTCCCCCTTCGTCCGTCTCTCTCCCGCTGTTGTTTCCTGCTCTCCTTTGCTTCCTTTCTCTCTCCTCTCTCTCTCTCTCTCTCTCTCTCTCTCTCTCTCTCTCTCTCTCTCTCTCTCTCTCTCTCTCTCTCTCTCTCTCTCTCTCTCTCTCTCTCTCTCTCTCTCTCTCTCGATTGGGAGTATAGCAACCTCCATTGGGAGTATCTCCATTCAGCATGACTCTCTACTTCTTCCACCCCCTTCCCTTTTCCCACTTCACCCCCTCCGCTTTTCCTTTGCCCCGCCTCTCCCTCCGCCCCCCTGCAATCCCCTCGCCCCCTCCTGAGATGTTGGTGGCGGTGTTGGAGGAGATGATAGCTCCAACCCCCACCCACCCTTCTTCCCCTCCTCTCCCAATCCCCCTCCCATTCTGCTTGCACATACTGATAGTGGTGTTGGAGGAGATGATAGCTCCAACCCCCACCCACCCGCCCTCCCTGCACCTCCCCTTTTCCCCCGCCCACCCAGATGCTGGTGGCGGTGTTGGAGGAGATGATAGCGCGCAATGTGCTGGCCAATGTTTGTGTGTCGACTCAGAAGCCCACCCTTACACCCCCTTTCGCCCCTGCCCTCCCCCCCCAGATGTTAATAGCGGTGTTGGAGGAGATGGTAGCGCGCAACGTGCTGGCCAATGCCATTGCCGTGCTGCCAGTCAAGTCGCTCAGCCGCTTCCTGCAGTTCTGCCGAAAGTAAACCCCCTGCTTGCATCGCACCTCCCTGCTTGCATCGCACCTCCCTGCTTGCATCGCACCTCCCTGCTTGCATCGCACCTCCCTGCTTGCATCGCACCTCCCTGCTTGCATCGCACCTCCCTGCTTGCATCGCACCTCCCTGCTTGCATCGCACCTCCCTGATTGCATCGCACCTCCCTGCTTGCATCGCACCTCCCTGCTTGCATCGCACCTCCCTGCTTGCATCGCCCCTCCCTGCTTGCATCGCCCCTCCCTGCTTGCATCGCCCCTCCCTGCTTGCATCGCCCCTCCCTGCTTGCATCGCCCCTCCCTGCTTGCATCGCCCCTCCCTGCTTGCATCGCCCCTCCCTGCTTGCATCGCCCCTCCCTTGTTACATGCCCTTCAGTGCTGCTCTACTCATTTCTTATGTGCTTTGCAAGTCTACTCTGCCATTCAGTCAATTTTGCCTACATCTCTTCAATATTCCTGCACCCACCATACACCCGCTGCAACAACCCTCGAGCCCCTCCGTCAGTCACAACTCCACACTCTTCCTCTTCCTCTGCCACACACTCCCTCCGTGTATCTTTCCTTCCCAACCAAACCCAACCACCTCACCTCACCCCCCTATCTCCATCACTAGGTACATCACTCTCAGATTCCCTCCCTGCACCCGTCACTGCGCCCCACCACCCATGTGCACCCCCGTGTCGGCAGGCTGGTACCCAACCCGCGCTACAGCACGTTTCTCATCCCCATCCTGCACATGGTGCTCGACCTTAGAGCGCAGCATGTCGCGGCCACGCCCACGCTGCAGCAGGGGGTACGTACACTGTATCCAGGAAGCTCTTCTCTCTGCCTGTGTTTGTCCTTGCTCGCTGCCACTCGTGCGTGCTGTGCAGTCTGCTGCTGCAGTTCGCCCTTGTGCCCACTGCACCTGTTGTTTTTCTGTTGTTTCCTTCTGTTGTTGCTTACTTCTCCTGTCTCTCATGCGACCCCCATCCACCTACTTCCTCGCCCTCCCTTCTCAGCTTCTTCTGTTGACTCTTCACCACCCATTCCATCAACTCCCACCGGCGTCCCCCCCTTCCCCACTTCCCAGTTCTACATGCTAGCACAGGTACTTGGAGCGGAGGCGCATGCGCTGGCAGAGCTGGCGGAGCTGCAGGGCTTTGTGCTGCCGCTGCTGCGCGCCTCCACTGCTGCCAACGCCACCGCCGAGGCAGACGCCATCGCCGCTGCTGCCGTCCTCGAGGGTGCGGCCGTGGAGGATGACTTGACTCTCCTCTGATGTATGCCTTAGTTCAGGGGTCGGGGTTGAGGGGGGAGGGGTTGAGGGTGTGGCGGAAGGGAGGGAGAGGGAATGGGAGATGGGGGGCAAGGGTGAAGGCTCTAATGATGTTAGTAGTCCGTGTTGTAGTGGCAAAGTTATGTTTTTCGGTTGGTCTACTGAGGTGAGACAATTCGCCCTATAATGGAAAATCGACCTACAACTTAGCAAGCAGCAGTATACACTTGGCAGGGATAGTTTGGGGGCGAAAATTTGGGGCACATTGCAAAACCCTGAACCCCGCTGTCAAATGTATACTGCCGGGAGGCAAGTCATAGGTGCAGCCAGATGGAATCAGCATCCACATTTTACATTAGTGGCCCTCTTGGATGCTCTTGTTTCTATCACACATCCAAGGTTTTGAATAGTTCAAACTTGTTTAACCGAAGCTTTGTTTCATCGCGAGCTCTGTTACGTACCTCCAGCCGGTTATTCTCAGGTGGTTTTGCGCAAGATCCGGCACCTGGGCTTCAATGCGAGTCGCGACTTCCCTTCCTACAAGTTAGGCACCAGATAGTTTTCCAGTGTTCCATTGCGGCGTCGCAGTGTGGTCTAGTCCTATGCTGCACTTTTCGAAAAGTTTGATAACGGTAAAGACTGGTGCCGCGAGTTTTAGCTTCTGCAACAATCGTCGAGCAGCCGCGCGACATCTGCTTCACTGAACTCGAACCTTCGAATTTTGTGAATGCAGAGTCCACCAGCCAGAGTCATGCGCTGAGTTGGATTCGGAGCATAAGCAGGGAGCTGCTTCCCTGCAGTGGTGGCAAGACGCCAAGAACGTACGCAATGGCGCAATGTCGAGCCGCGCTCCAAATCGCTACCTGGCACGAGTTCCATGGAAATCGCTACGTGCTGCTCCCTGCTCCTCCTGTTTTATAGTAACTGGCTACTGACGCCGCATATATAGCGCTGAGTTGCAACCACGATGCTCATCAATTATCACAGCTCAACTCGCTGTTTAGCACGCAGCCTTTCTTCAGCAGATAATCTCACTCTTTCTGTTCGAGCCTCTATTTCTTTCTGTAAAATAGAGCCCCTGATTCGCGTAACCATCCAGGACCTGCACTAGCACCTCGCACAGCTGCAATGGCCCACACATCGCCGCTGCCCATCGCGATGGTCCTCGCTGGTGAGCATCTGAAACACGGCTCGCCGCTCGTCCTCCTCGCTAGCGCCATTTGAGCGTGTGACACTCTGATCTGATCGTTGCCTTGCAGCATGTTTTTTATCACTGAGTAAGTCTGCTCGTTTTGCGCTGCCATTCTTCCATATACATCAGAAAAATGTAGAAGGCGTATTGTGTCGTAAACGCCTTCTTGTGCCTCGTTTGTGCTGTGGTTACCGTGGTTGACCCCCCCGGCAATAAACCACCAAGGATATTGCCCTTTGTGTTTGGAAAACGGGGGGGTGTCGGAACCAGCATATATCCCTGATTGTTCCGCTACAGTGTCCGAGCGTGAACCGGGGTTGACTGGGTTTGGGCGGTAATTTACGACAGTTCGCGAAAGGGGAAGGTTGAGTGGGAAACGAGCTGAGGGGCCAACCGCGATCCACGTCACCCTCAATATCTGTCGAGTTGGTGGTAGTAAACGGCTGCAGTCGACCGTTTACGATCGTCAAAGTGGTGGAATACGAAAAACGATGAGCGCGAATGTTACCATCTGTAACTGTTACTGTAGTACATCGTTACTTTTCAATCGAGTATTCTAAACCAAACTTCACTTCAATTGTGAAACATTTAGATTATGAAAGTAACTTGGTAACATGAGTTGTACCTGAATATGAACATAACCCAGTAACAAAGTTACCATGTATTGTTACAGAAAGAGCGGTTACGATTTATCCATGCAAAAGCATACTCATAAACATGTTTAGATGTAAATAAAATCTCAATCAAATTAGAAAACTACAATAATTAGAATTAGTACAAACGGACGTTCAAATTAGCACTACAAAACCTACACAAACGACACCTACAAGAAACCACTACAGAAACACACGCTCCCACCCCTCAATGAGAATACGTACATGACGGAACTTGAGCTAGGCTAAGAAGCCATAGCTAGTTGAGAGGAAAGTTGAGCTCGAGTGGGTTTAGGTAAGTCGAGAAGATGGCAACAAAAAGAGAGGGTTTCACTATAGAGCAGGCAGTACAAATAGGCAAGAAGGAAAGGTGCACCACCAAAACAGAACGTTATATAACTACAGTAGTCTACACTACAGGCAGTTACAAGACAATATATAGAAATATATATTATTCTTGACAGTACACACCCAGAACCAAGCACCAACCCCTTGGGCTCATCACGCTGCAAGATTGTGGGGTTGTTCTGCATCGCATCGTGAAGCGCCCCCACGATCACATTAGTCTTGGCGCGGACGTAGTTGCTGTTGGTAGAGCCTACCCCATCCAGGGAAGGCTGGCCCCTCCCCGGCCTGAAGCTTTGCAGGGGGGCTTCGACCTGCATGTATCAGTGGGTAAATGGTTAGCTAATGTTTGTGACAGGTGGGACAAACACACAGAAAAACAATGTTGCTGAACATGCTGAACTTACCACAACACACAGGTATGCCAGCATAGGGATCTTCAGCAGCACGAGATTGGAGGTAACAGTGGAGAACGCAGCAAGGGCTGCCTTCTCAAAAGCGATGTTGGCGAAGGGAACACCTTCGCCATTGACATGCCATGAAAAGCCAAGTACAGCTGCACATAACAGATCATGAAAGTGTGTCAGCTTCGTTAAAAAAATAGGAGAAAAAAAATTAAAATAGAGCTCCTTACCATGCCTGAAGTCTTCCAGCCACTTCGCTACCGAGCGTTTCTTTGACGGGATGATCATCTCTACCGCTAGCAACGGCCACTTGCTCTCGTCCAACAACCCACCCGCACCCCATGCGTAGAGTCGAATCTTCTTGTGCGTGTTGCTGCGTTTTGTTTTGATTACCTTCATCGCCAGCTTCTCGAACTCGATTCTGCCGCCAGTCGCGTAGAAGTACTCGTCTCGATTCACTCCACACAGTCGGTACTTCGTGAGGAGATGAGGTTGGAAGACTTCCCACGTTGGGAAGAACTCCATGCACTCGACTGGCGCGTCCGTTATGAGCCACGTGAAGGTCTCTAGCGCCTTCACCTGCAATCGGGATTGCATACAAAAATCAGAGAGGTTAGAAATCAAACATAACCGCGTACAGGTTCACAGGCGATAAACACCCACAAAATAAGCATGAACAAAGAGTAGGGGAAGTATGACGCGCAGCGGGGGGAAACGTTACTTACAGCGAACTCCTTCGGAAGTAGGCTTGTCTGCGGAATGACGTTACCATCCTTGTCTTTGGTGAGCATCGCCTCGTTGACATCGGGGTCGTTTGGAGGCCTCTCCGGTACCTCCGCCGCCTGTTGCGCCTCAAGCTGAGCCAGTCGTTGGCGCAGGATTTCGCACTCAGCCTCGGCGGCGGCGAGTTTCTGCTGTGCTTCGGCTTGTGAAATATGCAGGATGTCAACAGTTTGGCGAAGATCTTCAACCTGCGCCTGCAGTGCGCGATTCTTTCTCACCCAGTGCGCATTGAAACCTGCAAATTGGAACCCACGACGAGTTAATTATGAATTAACAACGAAACGAAAACATAACATCACAGCTGGAAGATTAAACAAAAGTCAAATGTTTTAAGAACATACTCACCTTCCGAACGTGTTCGGCGGACGGCACCATTTTGTTCGACGACCGCCTGTTGCTGCTGCTGAGCAAACTGCTGCTGCTGAACAACCTGCTGCTGCTGCTGCTCGGCACCATCTTCCTCATAATCCTCTTCCTCATCCTCGTCATGCTCATCGTCCTCCTCCTCGTCCAGCTCATCGTCCAGCTCCTCGTCGAAGGCGGAGCGGGCTGCCGTCAACAAATCCTCAGCCAGCGCGCCGGTGGTTGCGTTTGCCAGAAACTCAAGGTTGTGCTGCTGTTGTTGCTGGGCAGTAGCAACAAGCGGCTGCTGCTGCTGCTGGGAAGCAACAGGCGGCTGCTGCTGCTGCTGGGAAGCAACAGGCGGCTGTTGCTGCTGCTGGGAAGCAACAGGCGGCTGCTGTTGCTGCTGGGAAGCAACAGGCGGCTGCAGTTGCTGCTGGGAAGCAACAGGCGGCTGCTGTTGCTGCTGGGAAGCAACAGGCGGCTGCTGTTGCTGCTGGGAAGCAACAGGCGGCTGCTGTTGCTGCTGGGAAGCAACAGGCGGCTGCTGCTGCTGCTGGGAAGCATAAGGCTGCTGCTGCTGACGATGGGAAGAAGTAAAAGGCTGCTGCTGGCGAGTCGCGGGAAGAGGACGGTTCGGGTGAGAGCTCGAAAGAAGCTGCTGCTGGGAACTCACGGGCAGAGCCGTCGAGCTCGTGAAAAGCTGCTGCAAGAAACTCGCGGGCGGAGGGTGTCAGAATATATTTGCTGTCTAGCCTGCAGTGGGGTACTCTGTAATGAGTACAACCCAATTTAGGGCAATGTATTTGTATCCCAACTCTTGCTAGTCACTTCACTTCCCTTCCAATTTCTCGACTCTCACCTAACCCACTCGAACTTACCTATCTCCTAGTGTGGGCCTAGGCTACTAAGCCTAGGCCCCACACCTAATATTTTCACATGGTATCAGAGCGGTCTCGGGTTCGATTCCCGGTGTATGCACATGTAGGCCGTTGCCGCTGTGCTTAGTCCTGGGCCTCCCAGTGTGGGGGTGTGGATGCCCGATTGATCCTGGAGAGGGTTACAGGCGCGTTCGCCTGGGGGGTTATGGGCGCACTTACCCGCTACTGAAACAAGCCCTTTTATCCCAATGGTCTAGTGGTTGGGATTCTGACATGGTATCAGAGCCCGTTCTACCTTGGCCTGTGGGCCCCTATGCTTCCGCTGCAGTCCTTCTTCCTGCCGTGCGCGAAAAGGGGACGGCAAGCATTCACGCAAGGAACCATTAATAGCAAAGAAACATTA